CCCCAAAACCCCAAAACCCCAAAACCCCATTAACAGCTAAATCCGTTGAAATAGTGCATAAAATGTCGGGATTCAAAGAAGCAAATAGCCAAGGAGTCCTAATACTCAGGCTTGATAAGTAAAGACTTAAATGAAATTCTGATAACAACGGAGTGTTCTTAAAGAGTCAATATTTATTTAACATCTTTAGACATTAAAGTAGTTAGTTCTCACCTAGTTCTGGCACTTATTGTTTTATAAAACCTCTTTCAGTCTCAATAGCATCATCTCTCTAAAGGAATTAGATCATTCCAATGCTAAAATACCTTCTGGGAGTTCTTGCTTGTTGAAGATTTGGAAATATAGCTGAACAAAATCTGTAAATTAGAAAGTAACCAAGTACCGTTCCTAGGTGGATTCAGCAAATGATGAGAATAATTAATGACACCGTGATAAGGATGTAATCCCACTTGGTAGACTCACGCTATAATACATGAACAATCTTATCTTATAAGAGGGCTTACCACAGATTCACCATATTCTGCAAAAATCTTATTGAAAAACTCATGAAGACATTTATTTTCTCCTAACTTTTCAAGCGTGAAGTAGAATGAAGCAATCTTGAAGATCTTGTAGAACTAGGCCCACATTACTGAGAGAATAAGGAAGATCTTGGCACTAGTAGATATGATTTGGAAGACCTTCAGACATCTTGTTTCTTTCTCGTTGACGAAGCTTTGTAGGATCCAATAAAGCACGTCTATGAATAAACTCCACCACACCATCAGAGTCTTCAAACTGTTCGTATATATCTCTTCTGGTTACTCCTTGATCAGAACAGCTGTTATCCTATTTAGACATCTGTATTCTTGAAGACGGACCAAAAATATTTCTCTCCATCTTCAGAAGAATAGAAAGGAAGTCTATTGGTGACAACGCTGATTTTGTTATCAGCAAAGAGTCTATCCTCCCTGATGAAGGTGGCAAGGTCATACAGAGGGTGAACCTCCTCCCCTGCTATCTCTTTAGTGCATGGAAAAGAATTCCTTTCTGATAGTTCATAGAATTCTCTGTCTGAAAACCCGCTGGTTTTCTCACTATCTGCACATATATTCCCTTCTGCAAGTCTGAGATTATTGATCGGTAACCCAACTGATTTATTCGTAAATCCTAATAACATATCAGTGCCAAGCTTAAGAACTTCATAATCTGAAGGAATTCTCAAAGATCTATTAGTAATAATCACATCATTAACCGGACATACTAGATGGTTTGGGACACAATATTGGTGATGACATTTGCTGTGCAGTATGTGTATCCTTTTGGGCAAGGTGGAGAGTTTCCGTTATTTGACCAGACTGCGTGTTTGAATGGACGTCCCACTCGTTTAGTACATAGTGTGGTGGAGAGAAGGAGCGGAGTGGCATTGGAGATGTTGCATTAACTTTTGCTCAAAGTTTGATCGATTTAGGATCTTGTTCCCACAACTCAGGGTCATCAGCACTCCCTTTAATAATTTCTCCACAAACATTCCCTTCTTTTGTCCCTGGCCAATCTCCTTCAACTAGATATTCCCAGTCACCGTTGCAGCTGGTGGTTGACTTCTTTATACTTTAATTTATAGCTACTGATCAATCGGTTAAAATCGAAGCAGAAAATTGGACCTTATAGGATATCCAGCTAGATTTCAAAATTCTAGAATATAAACTAAGACTAATAAATACAGACTTAGCATGGGTTATAATTTAGAGAAGTTGCACATCTTTCTGAAATTCCGACTAATTACTAATTTTTGGCTAAAATGCTTCAGACATGATAAACTGCTTGAGAATTTAATGGATAATATTCCTTAATCCTCCAATACAACTATGCGTCATTAAAGTCTGAGCTTACCTATCGGCTTTGAGTGCCAGTTGTCTTCAAAGTCTTCTAGCACTTCGTCATAGTAAGGGACAACAGAAGAGAATTCCCAAGCAGTGTAATTTAGTAGTATTAGCACATAGAAGAATTCATTTATATTTTAAAGATAGAATCCTTTTCAGAATCCTCTTGCCTCTCATGCCCTATGTCTTTAGAGAAATTGGCATACTTTTTATCTTCCACAGGATCTTCAGGAGAATTATTACCCCTTGCCTCAGAATCAAAAGCCTGATGCATCTTTTATTTTTAATTCTAACAAAAATCTTCAATCTTTTGGCTCATGAAAGGGGTTTTGGGGTTTTGGGGTTTTGGGGTTTTGGGG